TCAACATTCCCGGCGCTGAGTCAGGAGCCTTGGCAATTGGTAGAAAATTGACTCACTCTTCTTGTCTGGAATAGAAACAGCTGGTGGTTGGGACATCTTTCCCACCCCTGAAGAGGGAGAACGGCAGATGTGTTCCTCACGGCACCCCGCTCTCGGTCTAGCTCCACCCTCTGTGTCGGGAATTAGGCTTCCCTGTGTCTGTCCCTTAGTTGTGTGACCTCAGAAGAGCCCTCCTCCGCCTCTGGACCTCATGTTCTCAAATGTGTATGATCTAGGAGGTGGGTCCCCTGCCTGGCCTCTCAGCCTGCGAGGGGATGACTCATCCTGGAGCCTTGGGTCTGTACTCTATGTCCCTCCTAGGGGTGACTCAATTTCAAGGCCGAAAGCACCTCCTGTTCTCCTCCAAAGCTGCAGGCCATGGCACTGTAAGGGACAGGCTGGAAAATTGCCTCAGACAATAATCCTACCGGGCATGGCTCACAGTGAGCCACATCCTTCATATACCTGACTTCATGACACACCATCACAAACCAAGACTAGGGAAGGGCAGAAGTCCTTAAGTCCTCCCTGGTAAACTGGGACCACAAAGCCTACCACGGTGGTGCATGACTATAATCCCAGCATTTGTGAGAGAGTGACAGGAAGTTAAGAAATTTAAGCTCATCCTTGGGTTTGAGGCCAACCTGAGCTACATGAGACCCTGTCTCAAAATAAATAAGAGGAAAAAAACAGAGCTGGAGGTATGTCACTGACAGAGTATGCGTGATCCCAGCATCAAAAGAATCTGGGGGGTGGGGCTGGAGAGATGGCTCAACAGTTAAGAGGTTTTATTGTTTTGGTTTGGTTTGGTTTGGTTTTTTTGGGGGGGGGTTTCAAGACAGGGTTTCTCTGTGCAGCTTTGGAACCTATCCTGGCACTCTCTCTGGAGACCAGGCTGGCCTCACAGAGATCCCCCTGCCTCTGCCTCCCAAGTGCTGGGATTAAAGGCGTGCGCCACCAACACCCGGCTAGCTGTTAAGAGTTTACAGCCACCTGTAACCCCAACTCTAGATCCAACACCCCCTTCTGTCCTCTAAAGGCACCTAAATGCACCTGTACAGATACACACATATATAAGGAAATAACAAACCAACATGTACTGTAGCATCCCTTACTGCAAAGTGATTGACAAGGACAGTGATCTAGTGTCAGGACCTAGTACATTTGTCCTCTAGACAAAAGATCATCTTTATTTAGTTCTTTAAAAACCCAAGACTCCATGTACATGCTCTGCCACAAAGGTAAACCCCCAGCCTCTGAGTTTTTTAGATCGGCTCTCACCACGTAGCCCAGGTTGTTAGCCTGGTGAGCGTCTTGCATCGGCCTGCAGTATCTGTTATACTGCACTCTGTAGGAGTGCACCACCACTCATGGTTTAGACATGAGATTTCTTTGTTGTTTTAAACACTGGAATGCCTTTTTTTTTCTCTTTTTTTTTGGGGGGGGGGTTGAGACAGGGGTTCTCTGTGGCTTTGGAGCCTATCCTGGAACTTGCTCTTG